CATCTTCTTATGTATTAACTTATAATTCATAATAATCAAATAAAGATTTATATTTTTTTATTGTATCTTCCCATGCTTTATGAGGTGTCTCTTTATAAACATGTAAAAATGCTGGTTTATCATTTCTTAATAATTGTTTATTTAAAATATTTTGATCTAATTTTATAGCTGTAATCACATTTTATTTTTCATTATTTTTTTCTTAATCATCTTATTTTTATCTTCTATTTTTTCTCTCTTCCTATTTCTTTGATGATTATTCATTAACTTATTCATATGGAATTCTATCTTTACTAGCCAATCCTCTAACAAATTTCTTTATTGGTTTAAATAATAAATCTCCATCAAATATTTCTCTATTATAAGTATTATCTCCATTATTCTCTAATCCTACTAATTATGGTAAATCTTTTATATCAAATTCATCTAATAGAGATTATGTTTCAGGACTTGCAACAATCTCACCAAATTTAACTCTTTCCAAATAATGTATATTCATGGCTTTAAGTAAAGGAGAAGTTTCTTTCCTTTTTGTAAAAAGAATCACTTTATTCAATTTTGAATCAGATGTTTCAAATTTTTTGAGTTCTTCTAATGTATTTATTCTAATGACATGATTTGGTATGAATTTATATCCATATTATCCCAAACTTTGAGGAGATGCTTCTCCTTAAAATCTATGTTCTGTAGCAATCATTTTTTCATTTGTATATGGATTGATTGATTAACGAGGAGGTTCAAAGAATGTAATTTATGGTAAATGTTATATCACATCAGAACTACAATATGGTATCTACTCACTAAATTTATATTTCATATAAATACTTTGATTTAGGATCCTTATTTATTTCATCACAATTTGTTCCATATACATTTATTATCCCTTCTTAATCTTCAGCAACTTTTTCTATTAATCCAGCAGCTCTTTGGCAATTTTCACATTAATCTGAATAAAAATATACAAGTGAAACAAATTCTGATTCTAAAATATCTCTAAAATCTTGTAATTTATTGGCATTTTTTATGAGATAAGAATTCTCAAATAAAGCTACACTTATTGAACACAGAACAGCTAAGAATATGATTTTATACATATTTATTAAAAATATTCTAGAATAAATAATTTACGTGTTAAGTATTTTATAATTCATTTTTTTAATATAATAAAACTCTTTAAAAATTCTGTATAAAACTATATTCTATAAAATAGAATTAAATATTATCAAATTTTAAAAACAACCAAAGCCCTTTTCCTTTAATACAATATCATGTTAATGTCTTAAATGGATTTTATCAATATATAGATAATAAAATATTTGATTTTAAGAATTATATTATTGAATATCAATGTAATGTTATTATATCTAAATTATTTAAAATATCTTTAGGCTATTTTATAAGATTCATTTAAAAAAAAAACATCATTATTATAAATAATTAGATTAAAAATAAATATAGAACCCAAAAAACTTATTTCAATATTATGACTTCTCCTCAAATTAATGATAATCTAATTATTTCAATATCAATAAAATAATAAAAATATATAAATAAAGGGATCCACAATCTTAAAATAAATAAATTAATCTAATATATCACACCAGTAAAAGAAATAATTAATCTATTATAAAATTCAACCTTTATAAATAGTTTAAAGTATTTAATCATATAGAGTAAGACCTTATAAGAAACAACAATTAATTTTAAGAGTTCAATAGATTTTTTATTTAACTTGAAATGTTAATTCTTAGTCTGATTTTTAATAGAGTTTTATCTCTAAGTTGAAAGATAAATGACAATAATAAAGAAAAATACAGATTTAATTTAGGTAAATTGAAATTAAATTATATACTAAAATTATTAAAATGTAAGCCAACATATAATCAAATTTAGAAAAGAGAATAACAATAGAATCGTAGCCTTTGAATATGGTTAAAATGTATGGAAGATTTTGAGAAAATGAAAATTTTATAGAAGAAGTTGCATAAATTTTTAAAATCTATTGAATAAATAACTAAATATATAATAATAATTATTATTATAATATATAAAAAATGTGTAAAGAAATTGTTATAAAAAGTGAATTTCAATTTCCTTCTTCTATTTGTTGACCACCTCTTCTAATCCATCTTACTCTTTTACCATCTTACCATTCTCCTTCTTTCTCTGCTCTAGATGAACCTATGTAGATTCCTCTTCCATGTTACTTTCCATTTGACCAATCACCTTTATAAACCTAAAAATCTTAAAAAAAATCATACTCTACCATCAGGCCATTTAAATTCACCATAACCATGCTTCTTATCATCTTTATATTAACCCTCGTATCTTCTGCCATCCAACCAAGTAAAAACCTATAATTTTTATAAATAACCATACCCCTTTTCCATCCATTTTATTATTTTTCCATTCCCCAACGTATTTTCTACCATCTTCCCAACTATACTCTCCTTAACCTTAAATATTGTTTTAGTAAAAGTCTCCCACATAAACAGAACCATCAGCCCATTTGAATGTACCCCTGCCATCTTTTTTTCCATTTTTATATTATCCTTAGTAACTAGCACCATCTGGCCATATCTCTTATCCTTCCCCATTCTATCTATCATCTTCCCATTATCCTATATATTGAGCCCCATCCATATGAACATATTTTCCCTAGAATAAAATAAAAATCTTACTTAACCATGAGCTTTATCATTTCTCCATTCTCCTTCATAAATATCACCATCAGAATGGATTAATCTTCCCTTACCACATGCCACATTTTAGTACCAATAGCCTTCATACAAAGATCCATCCTACCATATTTGTTTTCCTCTGCCATGTCTCTATCTAGATATAATAAATGAAATAAATTATACCCATTTTTCCATTAACCTATATAAACACTTCCATTCTCAAATTCATATGGACCCAAATGTGGCAAGTCTTTGTACTCTTCTTAATCTTAATCGTATACAAAATCGTCTAATTTCTCCAAAACCTTTGTATAATTACAATATACTTGTCTAGTTCGATCTGTCAAAAAATCAGGTACCTTTTCAATTTTTCTTACTCTGTCATTTGGAGCATGCTAATTAGCTCCAGCACTTTACTCTGGACCTTTTGTATATTAAACTTCTTTAGCTGTCACTATTGGTTTATCTTCTTATTATGAATGACTTTCCATTTTTTTAGGTTCACTACTTTATTTTATACAATTATCTGAAATTTGTTCTGAGCTCTTTTGACTTTCTTTTATCTTCTTCACTTCTTCCCTTGCTTTATGTCCTCTTATATGTGCTAAAATGATTCCAACCGAATTTACCTTATATTTTTGTAGCTTTCTCCTTAACTAAATTTTCATCTAACTATTCATCCTATTTTTTATCTAGTTCTTATTATTAACCTGCTCCAACATTTATCTGTGTTTTTTGATCACCACACCATCCTTATTATCCACCACAACAACTTCCCATAATCTGTTATGCCGTAATTAATATAAAAATTATCTTAAATTATATAAATTTTGCAACTAAATCATTCTTACTCCACGACCACTTTATCGACTAATTTCAAGATAAATTAAATAAATTTAAACTTGATTTAAAATTAATCAAACTTTTTAAAAATAATTAACTTAAAATCCCAAAGAAAAAAAATTATTAAATCAAGATTCAAATTATGGCAACTTCACCTCCTTTCCTAATCCATCTAACACGCTTTCCATCAACCCATTCTCCTTCCTTTTCAATCTTTGATTTCCCTATATAGATACCGATCCCATGCTACTTTCCATTCTACCAATATCCTTTGAAGATCTCATATTTATTTCATAAATACTCTCCCATCTGGATAATACAACACACCATATCCTTATTTAACACCATTGACATAATCACCCTCATACCTCTTTCCATCTTTCCAATAAAAGGTCTTTAAATTATCAATATACAAACTTACTCCTTTCCCATGCATCCTATTGTCCTTGTATTATCCAACATATCTCTTTCCACCCACAATCTTATAATCTCCATGACCTTCAAACCTATTATCTTAAAATTCCCCTTCATAAATGGATCCATCTGCCTCTCTTAAAATGCCCATTCCATTCTTCTATCCATTCTTATAGTCTCCTTCAAAAGTAGCTCCATCTGGCCAAAACTCTTTACCCTTTCCATGCTATTTATCATTCTCCCAATATCCTTAATACTTAGCTCCATTCTAATGAATGTAAGTACCCTACTATTAATACATAACAATCTTACAAAACCATGAACTTTATCATTCTTCCATTCTCCTTCATAAATATCTCCTTATGCCAATAACAATCTACCTTTACCATGTTAACAATTATTGAACCAATAACCTTCATAATATGATCCATCTATCCAAAATTGTCTTCCTCTTCCATGTTTTTAACTTTATAAACTTAAAATTGTATACCAATTATTCCATTGACCTTCATATATTACATCTCCTATCAACAATGGTTTTGAAAAAGGACACTCCATAAATAAACTATCCTAATCGAAAATGAATGGATCCAACTTATCAAGAACCTTTGATATAAAGAGCATTTTAATACACTTTTAATTTTTTCTGAATATTTCGAGCTTATATTAACTTCTTTTACATTGAACACTGGAATATGCTATTAACCATCCATATTAAATTTCAAAACATTTTATTAGTTCTTAACATTTTCTTTTTAATTAGATCTATATTAATAAATGAAGGTTTCATCTGATGTTTAAGCTAATGCCTTTATTTATGATTTCTTCATTTTCTTCCTTATAACATATCCTCGATAAAATTCTTAGATTAATTATTTTTTGAAACATACTCTAAATCTGTAAAGCTTTGCGATTCAATAGACCTAAATCAATTTTCGATGGATCTTAGTATGACAAATCATAAGTTGCTATCTAAAAATTTGCATTTGCCAAATTATGGCCTCCACAACAATTACCCATTAATGTATTAAATAATAGTAAATTAATTAAAATTATAAATAATCAATAAGCACACCCTTTACTTGTAAACTTTGATATTTCTTTGCCAAGTCGATAGAATACAAATTAAAAAGGAAAGATTAATATTATTATTAACAAGATCACTAATTCTGCTAAAAGAAAATAAATGCATTTGGATAGACTAATATTGAATATTCAAATACCAAAATTTTGGCTTTTTTGATTAATACAATTTCTTGTTTAGTCCTACAAAAGGCTTAACTATTGATTTACAAACAGCTTTCAAAATCAATTTAATTATTAAAAGAGGACCTCTAAGAATAAAAAGAACAAGACGAGGAGCAAAGTAAATTTTCCTCATTTTATCAGGATTATCAACTATCTTTGATGTTTTAAAACGACCATTTGACCAAACTATTTTTAAATAACATAATTTTACTTGCACATCCCCATATTGACCAATATTTATAATGATTTGGATGATATGGCTATGAACAAATCCAACAAAATTCAAATGAACAAGCACAAGTCATATGATTACAACCAGCATTTTTTTAAATATGTGATTTACATTTAGGACAATATTTAATTGAATATTTTGTTAAGGCTTATTTAAAATCATATTAAATAGCATCCTAATTATATTTTATTAAAAACAACCTCACATTATATTCCTTAATGTGCAATTTAACCACAAGTAAAACAAATCAATTAACCACATTAACATTAGGTTATATTAGTACTTGGATCTTTTTCAATGAAACGATCACAACCTATTGCTGGACACCATTTTTTATTGGGATCATTTTCAATTTCATACTTTCTCTTAAAAACTAAATATTATTGAAATCTCTATTCATTAACAATTTATTTAATAATATCTTCTGAGAATATAACTTTACAACCTTCTTATAAACATAATATATTATTAATTTTGGCAATTTTAATTTTATCTTCTAAGTATTCTTTGTAACAACTCCTTTAATATAATATAATAATTTATTACAAACAAAACTAATGTTCACATTCTAAAAGCTGAACTAATTTCTCAAAATTTGAACTACAAATAGGACACATAGTATATTAATCAAATTATTGAATTTATTATTCCTCTAATTGATTATTATTAATATTATTATTAAACTATTCTTATGAAAAAATTGAAAAAGAAAATATTTTTGGTTGTGATTCTTTATATATATTTTACTATTACCTATTCTATCATTATTGTCATCTTCATTAGAATTTTAATCAAAATTTATTAGAGCTAATTCTCCCTACACATTCCCTTATGGTATTTCATTTGCAACATCTGGTGTATTTTACATCTTAATTTGAACTTCATTGTTATTGATTGCATCTTATGTATTCTATCCTCTTTCTTACTCAACTATTTATAATACAGAATTCCTTGCTAAATCTAAATCCTTATTTTAATTCTCAGATAGACTTTCTTTTATAGCTTCTTCGTTTTGACTTACTTCCTAATAAGAATGATAATTTATTATCTCCCCTAATTAATCTGATTTAGACATTTAAATGATAAAATGATCCCTTTAATTAGAATTAAGTAAGACCTGATTACCTTATTCTTTGATAGTGTTTAATTTCTGATTTTATAACCATTGTTCACTTTTACTTCTAGTCATTTTAACATTTCTCATTATTATATCATTTGTAGATATCATCTAAAGTACTAAATACACTTTAATTATTAAATATGTATTTAATTATAATATGATCAACTCATTTATCAAATAATATTCTTTTTTCTGATCTTTTTATACTAAATATTTAAGTTATTATTTTTATTAATATCTTTTTATTTTGTTATAAAATTGACAAGTATCAACCTTAAAAGATATATCATAATTTGATAAATTTATATAGAAAATAACATTTATTTAATTTAAAGTAAAGAAATATATAATAAATCTATTTCCATTAATTTATGTTTTTATATCTTAATTAACAATAAGAACATTTATTATTAGAAATTATATAGGAAGTGAATATAGATTGAAAAATTAAGATATTTATATAAATAGAATAAAAATAAAATATTTATTCAATACTGTAGAATTTTAATATAATAATAATAGCAAATATTTAAATTTAAAATAACAATTTTTTCTAATCAATATTAAATTAATATAGAATATTGATTAAGATTAATTATTTTATAAATTTGGAATATTTTTGGGGATAATAATCTCTATTTAAATTTATAGTGGAATATAATTAATATTAAAAAAAATAAGATATTTGTATAAATATATTGAATTTTATAATTTATTAAAAATAGATATTTTAATAAAATCATTAAGAATTTATCCTAATTATTCAATTATAATTTATAGATTTCAAATAGTAGATATTTAGTATATATTTGATGATTTAATACTCTCCATGAATGAATTCTTGTATTCAACTAACCCATCTTATGAATCTATAAATTAAAAAAATACATTAAAAATATTATTTTAATTTATGGGCAAAAAGGAAAAGGGAAAGCAAAATCCATTAGGGGAAGTGAGCAGAGATTATACTATTAATCTTCATAAGGCTGTTCATAAGGAAACTTTCAAGAGAAAGGCTCCTCGTGCTGTTAGTCACATTATCAGATTTGGTATTTGAGTGAAATTTAATAGAATAGCTCAAAAAAATATGTTAACAGAGGATGTAAGAGTTGATCCATAATTGAATGAAGCAATTTGGAAGACAGGTATACGTAATTTACCAAGAAGAATAAGAGTGAGGTATATTGATTTGATTTATGATTTGCAGATTATAAAGAAAGAAGAAGGAAGAAGATGATGGAAAAGGAAAATACTTTACTCTTGCTTAGTATGTTCCAGTTGATACATTTGCAAACCTTAAAACAGAGATCACAAAAGTTTAATGATTTATGTATATTGTACAATATAATATTAATAATTTAATTACTTTCTTTTAATTTATATACAAATTAATAAAAAACTGTGACTGATGCAATAATTAGTTTACTATAATTTATATTGTAAATGAACGAAAATAAGAAAAACAGAGTCTTTTCATTTTAAATAAAAAATACTTCAGGTGTACTATCTGAAGTATTAGATAGCTAATTATCGACTACTAGATTCTAAGGAATTGAATCATCTCATAATTCATTAAAGCCCAATTTCTTTTTTTAAGAGAGTGAATAAATATAATCACCTAGAATATCAACTTAAAGATCTCTTTCAAGACTTCATATAAATTCTTTAAGTCCAAAGAACAGCTACATTTATTCAAGGAAATCAATATTAACAGCAATTAATTCTCAGTTAGGAATGTTGTATCATTTTGAAAAATAATATGCTGAATGTCTAAAATCCAATTATCAAATAGGTGTTATTGAAAGTAAAAAACCATGTTTCATAAGGTTTATTTAATTTGATGGTGATTGCAGTTGAACAAGATAATATTGATTTACTGATAACTTTTATGCGTTTATGTGCATTAACATTTATTTCATTTTAAGAATGGACAAAAGCACTTCTATTTTTCTAACATTGTAAATTTTTAAGTGAATTTACTCGACAATTAGATGTGATCTAATGGACATTTCTTTAAATAGGAATTTTATGTAAATATATCAAAAAATATGATATTGGAAAAATATTCATTAAAAAAGTAATTAATAAAAATAATAATACTTAGTCTTTAGAATATTCTTGGTTAAATAAAGATTTAGATTAGGAAATTATTTGTTATGAAGAATTAGGCAAATTATGTTTTCTTAATTATGAATTATAAACAGCTAAATCATTACATGAAAAAAGTATGAAAGGAACTTTTGAAAAGGAATAATCTTCTTTAAGATAAGTATCTAAAAAAGGAATGGAACAAATCTTAAATATGTTTCCAAATTAAGAAAAGAAATTAGGTTTACATATATTTTCTAAAGCTGTTAATTTTCCATTAAAATTTGTTTAATGTTAAAATTAGTAATATTTTTAAAAAAGATCAGTAAAAAATTAATATTTGATATCTAATGATTTTGAATGTATACCAAATTAAAGAATTATTGAAATTGATCTTACTTTAGATGATATGTTATAATCATTTTTAAAAGGAGTTAATTTTTCATTTGAAATTCCAATTCCTATATCAATAACTGAAGAATATGAAAGTATTGCTGAATACAATTCAATGCCATCAACATAGAAAATGAAATAAACATAATTAGCAACAATAATTAAATTACATTCCTAAAAAGTAAGAACAACCAAAAATAAATCTCCTATTATTAGATTAGATTAATCTTAATAAAAACTTCCACTTGAATAAATAATTAAATAAAGATTAGAAATGAAATTTGATACTACCTATACTCATAGAGAAAAAATAAGAAATAGAAAATTTGTTAACAATTTAGAATAAATTAGATTAACTCATGAAAAAAATAGTATTACATTAAGTTTAGAACATTAAAAGAGAGAACTAATCAGATATGCTTAAAAATTACTAAATTAATAATAAATTACTTTCATATGATTTTTTATAATTAATATGTTCAGAAATCTACGACAATAGTATCAAAAGGATCTTGATTACCATTTTATGAAACAATTTAATAAATCCTCTATCAATTTAAGATGTGAAAACCACAAATCTCCTTTTGCTATTAAAAAATACTTGTCCAAAGTTAATATAGCATTTTAATCTTAATTAAACGAGCTATCTCAATGCAATGATAAAATATCTAAATACTCTAAGTATTCATCTTATTATTATTATAGAATCAAATATTATGTAAGATCTAGAAGTTCTTAAAATACTTATGAAGGTTATCTCAATTAAAGAGATTAATAAATTCTTCTATCCTTACCTTTTCATTCTATCAAAATGCATTAGAGAGAAGGTATAAAAAAATTATGGAGAAAATATATATTTCTTGTCATTTTTCTATTGAGATATAAAAAACATCAATAAGAACAATTCAAATTAAATCTCTAAACTAAACATCTTTAATTAGGAACTCCTAAGATTCTTATTGATACAACAAAAAAGAGAAGAAGAAATGCTGGCAGTTAGTTTAAATTATCTACATTTGCTGAATATATTGATGCTTAAGATAATAAACAAGAATCAAAAACTAAAAGAACAGAAGATGAAAAATTTAAGAAAAGTCCAGTTTATTAATCATTTAAATATAATGATGTAAGAATTTGCAGATTGCTCAGATTACGTAATAATAGTGTTCGAACATCAAATGCAGAATCCCCATTAAAAATTAATTAATAAGTAACTAAAAATAATAAATTGCCACCTTTATAATAAATCGATAAAAGAATGTAAAGAGTTTATTCGAATTTCGGTAAGTGATCCAATCAAATTTGTATATTAATTACATATTTCATTTTAATCAATTTCAAATAAATCATTATTATTATTGATTATATTATATTAATCATTTTAGGATATATATATTATGAATTATATAAAATATTTATATTAATATATCTATATAATAATAGTTTTATCTATAGAGCATATTAAATATATGTTATAATTATATAACTTTTATTCTTTATAGAAATTATTATAATTTAATTACCCAATAATATTTGTTTAAATACAATAAAGAATATTGAATTTAGAAGATACTAAATTATATTTACTAACTTAAATTATTTTTGTAATAAATTTATTTATTATTTCAAGATGCTTTATGATAATAATTTAAGAATATCTCTTATTAATAAGGTTGTTGATTAACTCCATAATGCTTAAATTGAAGCTGAAAAGGTATATTTAATGAAAGAACTATATAGTTAACAGACTTTAAATTTAATTTCAATCAATTAAATAAGAGATTAATAGAATTTTCATAAGAAGTCATTGAACTTTGGAGAAAGAATTATTCTTAGCGTGAGTATGTATTATACAAAGAGAGATTATAGTAATTGATAGGAATGCATAAAAATTCAATATCTAAAATAGCAGATTAATCAAGATCAAGAAATACAACAAAGAAATTAAGCAAACCTTCTAGTGAAAATGAATTAAGTAGTTAAACTAAAGTTAAAATTTAACATGAATAAGTATCTACTCCTTAATAAATGCAAATATTAAAAGAGGATGATTTTTCTGATATATCATTTGCTTCTTTGACAAGTAGTAATTCTGAGACAATATAAGAAATAATAGAACATTCAGAAAAAAATGTTTAAGGTTTCTGTTAGGTTCATAATTGTAGAGAATTAAAGATATTAAGGGAAATTTTTAGATAAAAAATAGATATAAATGAATTATAATTAGCATTAGAAGAGATTACTTCATTAAAATCATAAATTAGAATGAAATTGTAAAAAGAAAATTAAAAGATTTAAGTAATGCATGAACGACTAATAGAAGGATAAAATAAACTTTAAAGAATGGAAGAATATGAAAAAGACTAATAATAAATGATAAAATTAAAAAAGATAGCATTAAATTTAGAATGATGATTTTGTAATTTTAATTGATTTTTTTTTAATTATAAATAAATATTTATTAATATATATATTAAAATGGGTAAACATAAAAGTAGAAGCAGATCAAGATCACATGAAAAAAAGAAACATAAAATAGAGAAATAAAAATAAAAAGATACTGAAATTGAATCTAAAGATTGGAGAAAAGATAAAATAGATATAGGATAAAAATCTGTATAAGCAGGATTAGATGTTTTAGAAATTATAAAAAAAGAAAGATAAGAAGATGAAGAAAAATTAGAATAATGGAAAAAGAAGGTTGGATATACTGGATTAAAAGTCAAAGCTCCATTAAATATTTATGAAGAAGTATAAAAATTCAATTAATAAATTTTAGATAATGAAAAAGAATATTGTAGCTCCTGTTAAACCTATTAATCCTTCATTATTAAATAATCCATAGGCACCTAGAATGATTGAAATTTTAGTCAATGATAGATTAGGCAAAAAAGAAAGAATTAAATGTTGTCCCCAAGATAAGATAGGAGATCTTAAAAAATTGATTGCTGCCAAAATAGGTGTTAGACCTGAAAAGATCAGACTTTAGAAATAACATAGTGTTTTTAAGGATCATATAACTTTAGAGGATTATGAAATAAAACATGAAATGTGTTTGGAAATGTATTATAATTGAATTCTGTTTTAATTTATATCTCTTATAGATTTTAATATTTTTTAAATAAACAAATATATAATTATCATGCATAACAATGTAAAAATGCTTTTACATGTCCTTCACCAATTCCTGATCCATATGAATTTGGATATATTCCTGCAATTTCAAGAAATTAGTAATCTTTTATTTACCCATTCATAATTTAAAGCATTTAATTTTTTGAAAACCATTTAAAATCATCAACTTCTTTTTCTCCCATTTTAATAGTGACATTTTGATAAGATTAATTGATTTTAACTTCATAAAACATACACAAAGTTTATTTGATTGGATATTCATTTTCTTCTAATTTAGTAGGATATATGGATTCATACATTACTTTTAATTCCATTTTATCAAGAATAGGTATTACATCTAATCCTGTTTCTTCTAAAACTTCTCTCAAACACTCATTTTCTAAATTTTAATGTCCTTCAACCATTCCACCAGGAAAAACCCAACTTTTTGGAAATGTTTTCATCTAATAATGTCTTCTTGTTAATAAAAAATTATAATCTCTATCACATAACATAGCTACTGTAGCTAATTTAATTTTATTGTAATTTTGATCCAAAGGTTTAAGATCTTTATTTTAACAAGGACAACAATTAGAATGAAGTAGATGTATTTAAGACCAGCCTTATTCTTATAAACTTAGATTCAATTATGCTTCATTTTATTTGTATTGATAACTAATAAGATTATTATCAAAGAGTTCTAACATACATTTACCTGCATAAAGAGTCTTACCTTTAAGAATATCAACACCATAAGACATTTATAATTTAAAAAGCTACCTCATCCAATGTTTAAAATTAAAATATAGCAACTAAATTATAAAACTAATATTTAAATTAAAAAGTCTTAGTAAATTAATGAGTAAATGACATTGATGAATAATAGACATAAATCATTTATATTTATCAATTATAATAATGTATATAAAGAATGAATAGTTAATATCCATTCTAATAAATTAAATAGATTAAATGTACATGATTTTATAATATATGTTTTTCAATAGCCCAACTTCTCCAATTCTTAATTAATTGTAGTAAGTTCTTTTGCTCCTATGGCTTTTCTTCTTAGATTTTCTCTGGCAATCTTTCTCTTATAATAGGCAGCACCTCTAATGGAAGTGTTAAAATGCACCATACCTTTGCTTTCTCTTTTCTTCAAGTCTGTTAACAACAGATTATGAATTCCATCCAACTGATGCACATAAGTCACCCAAAGTGCAAAATGGTCTGTGATTCTTGAGTCTGATCAATTTAAGAGCATCTGGAATGACTTATCTCTTTCTTGTATCATATGGAGGTGGTACTCCTTCAAATAATTTTAATCTTTCTAAAGCAGCTGCTCCTCTCTTTGATTTATATTATAGCATGCCTCTGACAACTTTCCAAAAACATCTTGAAGGTGTTCTATAATGTTTGTATCCTCTTCTTGGATTAAATGCCATTCTCTTATTAAGGTATTCTTCAAAAATGACTCTGTTTCTAAAAAGAGAACCTTGAATGATGTGAAATTGATACCAGATTGTTAAATCAATTCAGTTCTTACAACAACGATTCTTTAACCTCTTTACAACTCTTTAGCAATGTATGAGGCTAAACGACCTTGCAAATGTCCTTTGCCATCGATTACTATTTCTTTTTCGAACATTAAATTTTAAATAAATTTTCAAATCATTTCATCCATACATATTTTTATTACATATGTTCACCAATCATAATTTGACTTCCTCATTTTCACTTAGTCAAAATGTATGTCATTCGTTATCAAAATCCCATTAATTGATGATTCAATTAATAATAAATCTTTCAATACACATATATATACATATACAAATATATCTAATTTTATTCTTCTTTCCATTTATTATGAATATATATATTAGACTTCTCTTTTTATAATTTAATCATCTTTTTCATCCAGTTAATCTTAGTTTCTAAAAATATATCTGAATATTTTTGTTTCAATCTTTATCTAAATTCAAGTTTAAAAACAAAAACATATCCAGAAGAATCTCTCCAATAAATCATTATTATATTTTGTATCAAATTTATTTTATATCCCAAATCAACATTTAAACACCTTTTTAGACTCTGAATTTAATGATATGATCTATGGGTCAATTCAATCGAGATTCATGATAATTTCACCTCATTAATAAGCTATATGTTTAATTATTAAGAGTCTTAATATAAAAAATTAGAAGATAAAATTAATTAAATAACAGATAGATTTCTGATTTATATAATTAAAACATGATCGAGAAGAAATATTGAGTAATTACTATATTAGTATATAATCTATATAATACATTATTTAAATTTTATAAATCAAATGTATTCTTTCAAATATGATTAATTTCTCAATAATCTATCAGATTTTATGCTTTTTTTTATAGAATTATCTTTAAAGTAATAGAAGTTTAAATGGGGAATTTTTTAAAGATTGAAATAATTTATTATTTGATATTAACTTGTTGAATAAACATTACAGATTATTTTTAAACAAAGACAATGAATAAGACATCATTGATAATTTCAAAAATTATTATTAATTGATAAATATAATATTATATCTTATATGAACAGATCTTCTGTTAATCGTTCTCCATTAAATACTAGCAAGAGCAAATAAATGTACACTTTCTCAAAAGCCAAACGTTGGGTTGATGTTAAGGACAATCTGTAAATTATCAATCTGTATATAATCTATTAGATGTCCTCCAATCTATTAATTGCCAACTACTTTAAGTAAAAGAGCTGCAGGTATTGGATATGGCAAGAAAATTAATATAACCCATGAAAGCATTACACCTGCTCCTAATTGTTATACAACTCATAAACTCTAAGAGCATGGATGGACAATGGGAGTGGGAAGAGAAGTATACATGCATAACTTAAATTATTTAAATAGCATGCTAATAAATATGAGAGCATCTTTTTAGGGTTGGTCTAAAATACTCCAGGACCTGGAACTTATAAATTCAAAGATTCCATGTCTCCTGTTCGTTACAGTATGAGATAGAGATTATCAAGTCGAAAAGATAAAGAACGAAAACCTGGACCGTATGGGTAATCATTTATTTTAGAGGACACTACAATCTACCAAGCAGTATTAATAGTACAGGGATTTATGCTCTTAGTTAATACAGAAAGTATTTAGAGAATTATAAATTACACAAAGCTCCGGGACTATTGTATTGTTACCTCCAAAATCACATTCAGAGAGAAAAGTGAGAGATACAACTCCAGGCCCTGGCTCATATAAGGAGATAGGCAATATTGATCCTCTTGGAACATACTTTTGCTCAAAGTTTAGTGCAAGTAAATGCAACAAATTTCCAAGAGCCCAACGTACTATGTCTGATAATCGTGATCGTTCCCCAGGACCAGGGTCATATAAATTACCCTCTGAATTTGGGTTTTGATTTATTAATTATGAAAATATAATTTATTCCTTATATCATCATATCTTGTTTAAATCATAAATATATTAATTATATGACCAAATCTGAAAATTTAAGAAAGAGACAAAGACAAAAAAATAATTAAATTTATGGCAACCTTCCATTCACTAACTAAAAATGAACAATTATGTGAAATATTTACACATATTATTTTTAATTATGTAATTAATATTTTTTTAATTTATACTCTTCTATATTTCTAAAAAAATATTAAACTAATGTTTCCATATGTTTTAATTCAGTAAATTGGATTTTTATGAGGTTATTTGTAAAATTCACTCATCTTTTGTCTAATTAATAAAACCACTATTTAATTGCTTAAGTAAGACTAATTGCAAATTTTTAATTTTCTATTTTTTTTGATTCTATACCACACAAATTTAATAAATTGTAAAACAATCTTACTAATCAATATTCATCAAGCTTAATTCTAAAAGCTTATAAACTTTATAGTAATGTAAATTTGCAATTAGTTTGAGTTATATATTTTGTCTATTAAAATAGATTGAGATCTTGAATAAATGATATAAGAAATGAAAAATAAGAACCTTCTCATGTTTTTTATAATATATATGATGAAATGATATTTTTAAGATTGCTGTTATTGAAAGAATCTAAAAATATTTAAAAATAAAAAAGAAAATTTTTGGATTAATAAAGTTAGGAAGTCCTTTTATTTATAAATATCATTAAAGTAATTATTTGATTGATCAATATGATAATCAAAAGCCATTTAAGTTAAGATAAATAAAATAAACAATTTAAAAGCTCTATATTTAAGTTTATTTTAGATACTTTAATATACTTTAAAATCTATTATTTGAACATTATAATTAGAAATTAAGATGTTTGATTCCAAGGGAAATAGACCAAAAATGATTGAATCTAATATGTAAAATGATTCTTATTTGATAACATTAATTAAGTTTATGAGAGATTATCGATTGAAATATAATTTATATATTGTTATATAAATAAAAATTATCAATTAAAAAAAATTTGAATTTGAGTTATTTAATATTTAATTTCAAAATGTAATTCTAGACGATTAAAAAGGAATCATAAGGAGGTTCAAAATCATCCCCTAAGCATGAAAGTTACATTGCAAAAATATTCAACTATAATACATCTCAAAAATAAGGAATTTTAAAGAAGGAATTGCCAATTTAAGACCATTAATTATGTAATTAGGTATTTATAGGTTAGTTATTTTATGATTACAAAATCCCTTTAGTCTGTGAAATTATAGGAATCTCCCCTTCAAAAAAGTAAGGCTGATTAAAATAAAAAAAAGAAGGTCAATAGAGTCGTTTTTAAGACTGAAATTGATGAGAATAATAACCTTTAAGTGGGTTTTCAAACTTAAAGAAAGAGTTATGATTGCGTTGCAATAGAAAATAAAATCAATGGTTTCAATTTGATTTCTAGTATGCTAGAATTAGAATAGAAAAACTTGGATCTTTAAATGGTTCTTTAGGATAAAACTAATCAAATTAAATAGATGTAAACAGAGATTGAATAATCAAAAATTACAAATCAATCATAAATTAGATAATATAGTTTAGAAAAATAGGAGCTTCTCCTTAAGTAAATTATATCCTTATAAATAGAATTTAAAATCTTGAAAAATAATCTGAATTACAAAGGAGATATATAGATTAACTACCTTAATTTGAAGTTGAAGCTTAAGAATGGAAAATTAGATTCCTTAAATTGAACAAATAATTTCATCTATAACAGGAGACTTTAGTCAGGTTAGAAGCTGAATAATAATGCAGTTAAAGAAGACTAATTGATGGATTTAATTATGTTAATTAATAAAAATGAAAGAATTTTGTCAGATTTTAACAGAAGTCTCACATTATTTAATTGTGTAGCTATCTATTATTTAATTTACTATTTAAATAAAACTCTCTCATTTTTTCTTTTTTCATTAATTATATGAGATGTCAGAAGAATCATAATACTAAGAGAATTCGTATTAGCCTTCTCCAAGGTTTGATTATTAACTAATAATGAGAAGACAATCATTCACATCAGATTATGATGAACATGCTGAGTGGTAAGAAATTTAGGAGGAGCAAGATAATTTCAAAAGTAAATTTCAAGACTTTGAATAACTATTATGGAGATTCGGTGAATATAAAAAAGAGAATGACTTTTAAATTGAAATCAAAATGCCTGGTGTTTAAGATCAATAAAAATAAAGTGAGCTATTAAATTCTATAGTGCCTATGAAACCTATTTAAGAACCTTCTGAAGATGGAACAGTTAAACCTAAAAAATTCCTTGATAAAAGCTTTTGCAGATATATTATGCTATATGCAATTCGTACAATAGAAAATTAATAATATGCTGAGATTGTTAGAGATATATGCAGTCAATTTTAAGTTAGCTACAATATCTTTGTCGAATACTATAGAAAATAGAGAATTTTAATTATGGGTTACCGAGCTTTAAAAGGCGAATTGATCTATGATAGTGATACTCTTCCTAATTAAAACCGCAAGAAAGCATTTAAGGAGTTTCTCGTTTGGTATTTAGATAAAATTGCTACTAAACATATTTTGTTAAGCAAAAAACAAAATATAAAAGAGTACCTTAAGTTTAAAAATTATGTTATGTCTTATTATGTGCACAATCCAAAAAGTTGGATAGGAAATAAGCCTTTATGGAAATGAACATCCTATACATATTGTTGTAGAATACTGTTTAAATTATCTAATTTAAATATAAATAAATTAAAACCTATGTTTATATTTTTAAGTATTTAAAAGTACAATAATGTGATAAAAATGATCTAATAATTTATTCTTATTTATTTCCTTTTGCTTATTTACTTTAATTAATTTTTCCTTCAAAATAGTTTCACTCTATGTAAAATTAAATATTCTCTCTAATTGATAAATATTAAATTGATTTCTAATTTCTGTGTTTCTAATCTTTTTCAATACCAACACATATAGAGTATGAAGGATTATTCTCTTATTCATTAATACCTTATAGCTTTGAAATATCAATGTAAATTTTTATTTGATTCCTTTTTACTTTCTTGAAAGCAATTTTTTCCTTAACTATAATTTTATAGAAATAAATTATGTTTTTAATCAAACTCAGTTTTCATTTATTCATTTTACTTTAGTTTTTAGATTATTCATTAAAATTAAAAAATCTAAATATAAGTTATTTGTACTCTAAAATTTGAAACATTGAAAGCATAATTACAATTTTTATCTGCTTATTTGTAAGATTTTTATTCTTAGATCAAAATAAATTAAAATATAATTAATATTTATAATATAGTGATTACATTTAAATGTTTTGAGCTTATAAATCATAAAGCCAAATAGAATATGGTTGCCACCCACATTCCTAATTAGTACCCATATTCTGATATTTTCTTATCTCCTTCTTTAGCATTTTCTTATTGTTTTGCTTACTCAATTTCTGGAGCTAAAGCTAATTAAGCAAAATCATCGTCATCGTCTTCATCTTCCTTCTCATTTTTATCATCTGATTGTTTACCATCAGTCGGCTTTTCATCAGATTTATCAGAAGCATCATCTTATGCAAGATCATCTTTATCTTAATCATCAACATTATCGTCATCCTTGTTGTCTTAATTATCTTTATCCTCATCTGAACCAGGTTCACTTTCAATATCATCATCCGATGGTGGCTCACTCTCTTACTCATTTTCAGAAGCAGGTTCACTTTATTTTTCCTCTTAATCAACTTCTTCGTCGTGTTTATCATCATCTTGTTAAGGTTCTTCTTCAGGCTTAGCTTCTTCTTCTGACTTTTCTGCTTCTTCAGGTTTAGTTTCATCTTCCTCTGGTTTAGATTCTTGAGGTTCAGTTTCTTCCTCTTCTGGTTTAGTTTCTTCTTCTGGTTTAGCCTCCTCTTCAGGTTTTGTTTCTTCTTCTGGTTTAGTTTCTTCTTCAGGCTTAGCCTCTTCTTCAGGTTTTGTTTCTTCTTCTGGTTTAGTTTCTTCTTCAGGCTTTGTTTCTTCCTCTTCAGGTGTAGTCTCCTCTTCTGGTTTAACTTCTTCTTCTGGTTTTGCCTCTTCTTCTGGTTTAGTTTCTTCTTCAGGTTTAGCCTCCTCTTCAGGTTTAGCTTCTTCTTCTGGTTTAACTTCCTCTTCTGGTTTAGCCTCTTCTTCTGGTTTGNGCTTTGAAATATCAATGTAAATTTTTATTTGATTCCTTTTTACTTTCTTGAAAGCAATTTTTTCCTTAACTATAATTTTATAGAAATAAATTATGTTTTTAATCAAACTCAGTTTTCATTTATTCATTTTACTTTAGTTTTTAGATTATTCATTAAAATTAAAAAATCTAAATATAAGTTATTTGTACTCTAAAATTTGAAACATTGAAAGCATAATTACAATTTTTATCTGCTTATTTGTAAGATTTTTATTCTTAGATCAAAATAAATTAAAATATAATTAATATTTATAATATAGTGATTACATTTAAATGTTTTGAGCTTATAAATCATAAAGCCAAATAGAATATGGTTGCCACCCACATTCCTAATTAGTACCCATATTCTGATATTTTCTTATCTCCTTCTTTAGCATTTTCTTATTGTTTTGCTTACTCAATTTCTGGAGCTAAAGCTAATTAAGCAAAATCATCGTCATCGTCTTCATCTTCCTTCTCATTTTTATCATCTGATTGTTTACCATCAGTCGGCTTTTCATCAGATTTATCAGAAGCATCATCTTATGCAAGATCATCTTTATCTTAATCATCAACATTATCGTCATCCTTGTTGTCTTAATTATCTTTATCCTCATCTGAACCAGGTTCACTTTCAATATCATCATCCGATGGTGGCTCACTCTCTTACTCATTTTCAGAAGCAGGTTCACTTTATTTTTCCTCTTAATCAACTTCTTCGTCGTGTTTATCATCATCTTGTTAAGGTTCTTCTTCAGGCTTAGCTTCTTCTTCTGACTTTTCTGCTTCTTCAGGTTTAGTTTCATCTTCCTCTGGTTTAGATTCTTGAGGTTCAGTTTCTTCCTCTTCTGGTTTAGTTTCTTCTTCTGGTTTAGCCTCCTCTTCAGGTTTTGTTTCTTCTTCTGGTTTAGTTTCTTCTTCAGGCTTAGCCTCTTCTTCAGGTTTTGTTTCTTCTTCTGGTTTAGTTTCTTCTTCAGGCTTTGTTTCTTCCTCTTCAGGTGTAGTCTCCTCTTCTGGTTTAACTTCTTCTTCTGGTTTTGCCTCTTCTTCTGGTTTAGTTTCTTCTTCAGGTTTAGCCTCCTCTTCAGGTTTAGCTTCTTCTTCTGGTTTAACTTCCTCTTCTGGTTTAGCCTCTTCTTCTGGTTTGGTTTCTTCTTCAGGTTTAGTTTCTTCTTCTGGTTTAGCCTCTTCTTCAGGTTTAGCCTCCTCTTCAGGTTTAGCTTCTTCTTCTGGTTTAACTTCCTCTTCTGGTTTAGCCTCTTCTTCTGGTTTGGTTTCTTCTTCAGGTTTAGTTTCTTCTTCTGGTTTAGCCTCTTCTTCAGGTTTAGCCTCCTCTTCAGGTTTAGCTTCTTCTTCTGGTTTAACTTCCTCTTCTGGTTTAGCCTCTTCTTCTGGTTTGGTTTCTTCTTCAGGTTTAGTTTCTTCTTCTGGTTTAGCCTCTTCTTCAGGTTTAGCCTCCTCTTCAGGTTTAGCTTCTTCTTCTGGTTTAACTTCCTCTTCTGGTTTAGCCTCTTCTTCTGGTTTGGTTTCTTCTTCAGGTTTAGTTTCTTCTTCTGGTTTAGCCTCTTCTTCAGGTTTAGCCTCCTCTTCAGGTTTAGCTTCTTCTTCTGGTTTAACTTCCTCTTCTGGTTTAGCCTCTTCTTCTGGTTTGGTTTCTTCTTCAGGTTTAGTTTCTTCTTCTGGTTTAGCCTCTTCTTCAGGTTTAGCCTCCTCTTCAGGTTTAGCTTCTTCTTCTGGTTTAACTTCCTCTTCTGGTTTAGCCTCTTCTTCTGGTTTGGTTTCTTCTTCAGGTTTAGTTTCTTCTTCTGGTTTAGCCTCTTCTTCAGGTTTAGCCTCCTCTTCAGGTTTAGCTTCTTCTTCTGGTTTAACTTCCTCTTCTGGTTTAGCCTCTTCTTCTGGTTTGGTTTCTTCTTCAGGTTTAGTTTCTTCTTCTGGTTTAGCCTCTTCTTCAGGTTTAGCCTCCTCTTCAGGTTTAGCTTCTTCTTCTGGTTTAACTTCCTCTTCTGGTTTAGCCTCTTCTTCTGGTTTGGTTTCTTCTTCAGGTTTAGTTTCTTCTTCTGGTTTAGCCTCTTCTTCAGGTTTAGCCTCCTCTTCAGGTTTAGCTTCTTCTTCTGGTTTAACTTCCTCTTCTGGTTTAGCCTCTTCTTCTGGTTTGGTTTCTTCTTCAGGTTTAGTTTCTTCTTCTGGTTTAGCCTCCTCTTCAGGTTTTGTTTCTTCTTCAGGTTTAGTTTCTTCTTCTGGTTTAGCCTCCTCTTCAGGTTTTGCCTCTTCTTCTGGTTTAGTTTCTTCTTCAGGTTTAGCCCCCTCTTCTGGTTTAGTTTCTTCTTCAGGTTTTGCCTCCTCTTCTGGTTTAGTTTGTTCTTCAGCTGGTGGGTCTTCTTTTGTTTCTTCAGCTGGTGGCTCTTCTTTCGTTTCTTCAGCTGGTGGTTCTTCTTTATTTTCTTCCTCTGGTGGTTCTTCTTTTGTTTCCTCAGCAGGTGGCTCTTCTTTCGTTTCTTCAGCTGGTGGTTCTTCTTTGGTTTCTTCAGCTGGTGGTTCTTCTTTGGTTTCTTCAGCTGGTGGTTATTCTTTGGTTTCTTCAGCTGGTGGTTCTTCTTTGGTTTCTTCAGCTTGTGGTTCTTCTTTGGTTTCTTCAGCTGGTGGTTCTTCTTTATTTTCTTCAGCAGGAGGCTCTTCTTTTGTTTCCTCAGCAGGTGGCTCTTCTTTCGTTTCTTCAGCTGGTGGTTATTCTTTGGTTTCTTCAGCTGGTGGCTCTTCTTTCGTTTCTTCAGCCGGTGGCTCTTCTTTATTTTCTTCAGCAGGAGGCTCTTCCTTTGTTTCTTCAGCTGGTGGTTCTTCTTTATTTTCTTCAGCTGGTGGCTCTTCTTTCGTTTCTTCTGCTGGAGGTTCTTCTTTCGTTTCTTCAGCTGGTGGCTATTCTTTATTTTCTTCAGCTGGTGGCTCTTCTTTCGTTTCTTCTGCTGGAGGTTCTTCTTTATTTTCTTCCGCAGGAGGCTCATCTTTCGTTTCTTCCCCCTACCTTTAATCTTAAGATTCAATAGGATTCTCATCTAATTCTCCGTCTTACTAATCTTACATAGCATAGCTTTTGTTTATTTTCTTTACATCATTATGCCTCTCTTATTGCCTCATATCCAAATTTTCACTGTCAATTTTATCATGCTTTAAACTTTGATTTTCATAGTTAGAAATTGATTATTATTATTTAGTTTAAACAATTTTATTATTTCTTGCTTATGGTTATGTTTAATCCTACTAATTGTTTAATTCTTTATTAAACTACTATTTTCTACTATCAATATTTTCTTCTTTATTTTATAATTTTTATTTAGACTCTTAGTTAGCAACTTATTTTTCATTTGAAAATTTTATCTATTATTCATTTATGCTAAGGATGTTCTCTGAAATTAAAAAACTTCGCTTGTATTAATCAATTTACAAAAGGCTGTCATTTTTAGTATTAGATCGCAAATTGCTAGAATAGAACAATTATCACAACTTTTTTCTTTATTCTTTATATTGTTGAGGATTAACAACGAAATCTTTTGGTCTACAATGGCTTGTCAACAATAATAAGCATAAAAATAATGTGACTGATGTCTTTGCCATCACTTTTTGATGACTTGATAATATATAAAATATTCGTTTTTAATTGTTTAGAAATTTTTTGAAATGATCAAAAAAAAAGGAGATTTTTTGATGCATCACCTTCTAAATTCATAGTTGAATTTTATAATGAAATATCTCAGATGAATCATGGTTAAATATATTCTGGATAAAATCGAGAAATACTATTTTTCTTTTAAATACTCATCCTTACATATTGTTCTGCTGTAAAAGTGAGACAGTTTTTTTATTCATTATTTTACAAATTTCCAAACTATTTATATTTAATTCTATTATTATGAGTTTAGATTTTTTAATTAAGAAGTAAATGACAAAAGAGCAGAATTTGTGCTTTAATTTATTTTTACTTATTTAAGTAATAAATTTTATATTTACTGAAATATTTTATTTGAGTAGATTATTTTTACTAAGATAAGAAAATATTATTACATTAGATTAGCTTAAAAAATAATTATAAATGAAATTTTACTATAAAATAACATTCAATGTGAAATAAATCAAAAAAAATTAATGGCACTTTTTTAAAAAACCTTATTTTGTATTAAAAAACATCAAAAAATATTAATTAAATTTTGTATTTTTTTATTCCAGAAACTTAGCTATCTTTTAAATAATATGGAATTTTTTATTCCTAGAAAGGACATATAGATAGCTTTAATAATTTTGTGATTTAATTGAAATATTTATTTTAAATAACATATAACAATAAATTTTAAATTGCATATAAAGCAGAGAATAACTAAGCATTTTACTAGAATAATTGCAATAATGAAAAAGTTATAGCTAATAATTTCAAAATAAGGAAAATTTTTATTCCTCATCCATTGTAATATCAAGTATAGAAAATTTGATTACATAATATCATTTCCATTTAGATACGAGATTAATAGAACTAATCTCAGCTTATGAATAGCAATATATCTTTAATTCCTAATAGATTAATAATTTATTTTGTAAATGATATTTTTCTACTTTAATATACAAAGATTTACAAGATATAAAACTTTAGAAGGAATCTTATAAATTAAATGATCTTGATATTTTATAGCTATCAAAGTAGAAGCATGAATATTTTAATCACTCAAAAAAATAAATCTAATCTTAAATTATCAAAATAAGAGAAAAAGCATTAATCAAAAAAAGTATATTAAGGAACCGCTATTATTAAAATTTCTTTTTTTTTATTCTTTATCAAACTGATTTATTATTATTTGTAATCTATATGGCTAAGACTTTCTTTGTTAGTCTTATTTTTAGAAATGTAAATTTAATTTTCATATATTATTTTATCCATTATTTTCCTTATATTCATCAAGTTCATAAATATGTGTATGTATTTTTAAGAAATAAAATATGTTTGAATGATCATATACAATAATCATAGGTGATGATGAAAAAAATAAATTTATATTTATTATTATTAGTCTAATGTCTATGATTATAAGTGTACTTAAATATCTAAAAACAATTTCCTTATCATCAGAACATAATTCGATTGAAAAAAAGAAAATTAAAATTATTTATGATAATGAAATATTATTAAAATGAACTAAGAGCTTCTTCTTAAATTTTTTAATGACGAACCATTTAAATCTGAACGTATGTGTGGATTAACAAATTTCGTCTATAAGGTTTCCACTACGAAATAATCGGTAATTTATAGACGTTATACATCTACATTTCGACTGTTCTAAAACCGAGAAAGAGAAGTAAGGTTGTAATAAGAACTTGCATAATTAGAATTAGCACCAAAAGTGTTATATTCTGATAAATTCTAAAGAATAGAAGAATATTGGCCATACTCTCCTGTAACACTATCAGAAATAAAAGAAGATTATATATAGGTGGCAAGAATGCTTGGTTCATTCCACAAATTGAGAAATAGAAATTCATTTGTAGAAATCTTTGATACTCCTTCTATTTATTAATGGTTACATAATGTTAATTTAAGAGATGAGATTTTTGATGTAATTTCAGATTCTAATTGTTAATAACTATATTAAACATTTGAGCAAGTTTTTTCAGATCAAAACTAAACATTTATTTTAGGATTATTTAAGGATCCATGTTTTAGTGAATTACCATTAGTTATTGCACATAATGATCTTAATGCTACAAATCTCTTAAAAGATAAAAGATTAATGAAATATCATTTGATTGATTTTGAATTTGCAGGATTGAATTATCCAGGTTATGAATTAGCTAATTTTTTTAATGAAATGGAATGGGATTATACATTTTCAGAGCCTCCCTATTTTAAAATTAAGGAAGGATGGCAAGAAGATTTAAAATTAAATTTTATAAAAGAGTATTGGAAAGAATATGCAAATTCTGATGAGATACCTAAATCACTATTAAGACAAATAGAAATAGGAGGAATATTGTAAAATTATTTTTGGATGTTAATTGGTGGATTATCTATGAAATAAGAATAATAAGGAATAGATTTAGTATATTATGTAAACAGAAGGATGATGAATTTTAATAAGGTTTTGAATTTAAAGCAATGATTATTATGCTCTAAAATATTTTTAGCAATATTGTAATTGTAAAAAAAGTTTTATTATAAATGAAAATTAAAGAGGATTTTATTTAATTAAATTATTTAAATCATATTAATATTTCCCATTCATTTTTATTATTCTTTTTATTAAATAATGTAAATTATTGAATATGATTCATGTATATATATTAATAAAAGTATATAAATATAATCTAAGATACTAAATTGGTTAATTTTATTTAAATAAGCTACTATATATAATTTATGATTTCTATGTTAGATATACTAAATAAAATTAAATTTTTTATTAATGATAAGTGACGATTTAACTCTAGAAAAAATAGATTTTGAATGGGTAAATAGTCAAACAAAAGTTGGTCCACTTAAAAAGGCTTTAAAACTCTTAGAATTAGATGGAAATTATTATACTGATTTAATTAAAGCTGTAGAGGAAAAATTAGTTTCTATAGATCCAAAATATGCTAAAGGTAATTTTGTTTTATATTTTAGCATCTGAAGTTGTTATTGATCCAGTTGTTAAAAAATAAGCATAAATAGATGTTGAGAAATGGGCTGAGAATCCTACTTTAGAAAAAAATAAGAGATTGGCTGAATAGGAAAAGATAAAGGGAAATGAAGCCTTAAAATCAAATGATCTTAAAGAAGCTATTAATTATTATACTTAATCAATTTAATTTGATAGATAGATGGCTGCTTCATATTGTAATAGAGCACTTGTTTATTTGAAACTTAAGGAATATTAAAATGTAATTAATGATTGTGATTATGCTATTGCATTACAACCTGATTATACAAAAGCTTATCATAGAAGAGCAAAAGCATATTTTGCACTAAAACAATATGATAAAGCTTATTTAGATTTCAAATATATTCTTTAAGAAGAACCAGATAATAATGAAGTAAATGGTGAATTAAGAGAATGTAGAAAATATTTAACAGAACAATAAATAAATTCAGCAGAAAGTAAAATTTATTTATATTTATTAAGATAAATAGTTTATTGAAAAATCAGGTGGATTTAAGAAAGTGTAAATAGTAGAAGAAGATGAAGAAGAGGAAGAAATTCCTGTATCTAAATAGAAACAACCTGACTTTAGTAAGGAATATAATGAGATTATGAATAAAAAGAATGAAATAACAAATAGAATACAAAAAGGAGCTTATTCATAATCAATTATTGAATTAATAGAATTATTAAAAGAAAATCAAAAATATATTGAATAACATTAATTTGTTGAATTAAGAGCAATATTATTAAGTAATTTAGCTTATTGTCACTTACAATTATAAGAGTATTAAAAAGTGATTGAATATTGTGGAAATATATTAGAAGACAATATTGCATGGGATATAAAAACAAAAGCATATTTAAGAAGAGGAATGGCATATGAAAGATTAGATAAAGTTGTTTTAAGCAAATTGGATTTTTTAAGAGTTAAAGATTTAGATCCTGGAAATTTATAAGCCTCATAAGCACTTGATAGATTATCAAAGATTATGAGTTAAGAAGAAAATAATAAAGTATCAAAAATTAGAGAAGAAGAATAAAATAAATAAGAAATTGGAGTATAATCTAAGAAAGTAGAAGAACCAATTTAAAGAAAAAAAGAAGAACTACATAATAATTAAATAAAATAACCAGTAAATACAAAGAAATCTATTTAAGAAGTTGATGATGGATAAAAATTATAATTATCAGATGCTGAAATTTCAATTCAACTTGGAAAAATGAAAGAATAAGGAAATATTCATTATAAGGCATAAGAATTAGAGAAAGCTATATAAATTTGGGGTGAAGGAATCAAATTTTTTGAAGCAAATCCAGCTCCTTCTTAAATTCAACTTTATTTTTAATTATTAACAAATTCTTGTTTATGTTTAAGTTAATTAAATTCTCATAATTAAGTAATTGAATTAGCAAGTAGAGTACTTATAAAAGATTAAAATAATTAAAAAGCTTTATATAGAAGAGGTGTTGCATATTCAACATTAGCATAAACATCATAGAAATTAGAAGAATAAAATGAATTATATGAAAATGGAAGAAAAGATTTAGAAAGATTAGTTTATTTGGATTCAGAAAACAAATAAGCAAAAGATAAATTATTAGAAGTATAAAAATAACATGCAGATTGTAGAGTAAAATTAAGAGAGAAACAAGAATCTTAACCAAAATAAGATAAGAAAGAAGAATAAAATAAATAATAAGATAAATCAGAATAATAATAATAAACAAAAAATTAATAAAATAAATAAAAAAGTGTTAATTAATAATAAATAGATTAAATTGGATAAAATTTAACAGTAAATGTTATTTAAGATTTATTGAATAAAAAATAATTACCAGAAACAGCAACAATATTTGAAAAAAATATGAATACATTTAAAAAGGCAACTTCTACTTAAATAATTGACTATGTATTTTAAGTTGATAATCTATAATAATTGTATTCTACAAAAGATTTACCAACAGATATACTATTTTTAATAATAAATGCTGGATTAGCATTAAAATAAGATAATAGTTACAATGAAAAATTAATAAGTATTTTTTCATTATTATATTTAGCTATTCTAAGAGATCGTCTACCAAAAACTCATAAATTTAATTTATGTGTAAATATGATTTCAAAAAAAGAGAAAGCATTAATAAAAGAATTATTAGAGTGTCATTCACTTAATGACTTGTTTAGTATATATTAAATAAAGTGATAAATGAAATATGGTTTATTTGCAATAATATTCATTTAGTTCAAACTTACTCTAAGTATTCAATTACTTATACAATACTTATCCTATCATTCTCTGTTTTAGCAAGCATCCTTGTAATTAATTTCTTCATGTTGTCTGATATTTAAATATCATTTGGAAACTAAACATTTTCATTTTAGATCATTTATTATAAGTATTAAACTTTTTCATGATAATAAGGAGTTCTTCCACAAAGCATTTCATAAAATATGCATCCAAGTGACCAAACATCTGATTTTATTGAATAATATTCTTGTCCTATAACCTATAATATTATATTAACAATTACTTAAGGACTCATATACAAAGGTGTTCCAATCCAAGGAGTGTTATCATTTGCAATTTCCTTGATTTATTCTTCCATTGCTTTAGATAAACCAAAATCAGCTATTTTAATAACATTATCTTATAATAAAACATTAGATGGTTTTAAGTCTCTATGTATGACATTTTTTTCATAAAGATATCCACAACCTATATATATTAATATATATATAATACCTGAAGCCAATTATTTAAAATAAGGTAAGGCATCAGCTTAACTTAGTCTTTTTCTATTTTGAATCAATTTTTCTAAGGTTCCACCTGAACAGTATTCCATAAAAAAATAAATATTGTTTGGACTTTCAACTAAATCTTCAAATTTTACAATATGAGGATGTGCTATATAAAATAATAAATATCAATTTACACATTTTGCTTGTATTATCAACTTCATTCTATAACCTTTCTGTTATTTTTTGTTTTTTTCTTTCTGCCAATTCTCTATTTTCAATTTGATTCAGTTGATGAACAATTTATTCTTTAGAAATCACCTAATTTGTATTACAATTATAAAAACTTTGCAAGCCAGGTATTGTTGAGTTTATATGTTTCTAGCCAAATAAGTCTTTGCATATTGACCTTATCCCAATACTTTAACAAGTATTTCATACTTCTTTTTACCAACAATTTTATGAACCTCATAATTCTGATTTTGAATCATTTTTATAAAATAAATCTATTCTGAAATTAATTAGCATTTATTCTGATGCTTTATTTATTAGATATAATTAAAGGATACTTATAAATATTTGATATAATGAAGAAATTTATGTCAAATTTAACGTTTTTATATATGTTTAAAATATAGAATTATTGTTGAATAAATTATCTTAAAAATTATATACAAAAGTAATCAAATAAATTTTTAATTTTATTTATTTCAATTTCTGTATAAATTTACATTATATCAATTAAATTCTGTATTATTTATTATTAATTATTTCTATTGTTATTGTTTTCTGATTCATTATTATAATATGAAATTTCTCATCCATAATTTTCACTTTGTTTTTAAGAAATAAAGATAAAATTCATTCTCATAATTAATGATTATATTTTTATTTAAATTAAAGGAGTATTTTCATTTAATTTGAAAAATGCAAAATTATTATTATAATAAATACAAATCTGGAATTTTATGTATATAAATTCTATACCTAATAGAAATATTTTCATTTAATAATTCTTTTATTTTTCGATATTAATTTATTTTTTATGAATAATAAAATGTTATTTGAAATTATTAAAATCTAACTAATATATTAGAATTTATTCTATTGAATCAACTTTTTAAGTCCATTAAACATAATTTGAAATGTAATTTATGCTATAACATTAATAAATATATAATTATAAACAAATAAAATTGACAATTAAATATTAAATTAATTATTTATTAAATAATCTAATCACTTGTTAATTATATGATTATAGTAGATATACTCTTTTTTAATTTGAGTTTAATAAGTAGAAACTTAAAAAATAACATTTGAGATAAATAAGTTCAGTATTGACTTAACTAGAATATTATTAGTTTAGATGACAAAAATATCAATTTTTTTTGAGATTTATTAAATAAATAATTAATAATTTCAAATTTTAGAGGTTCTTAAATTAATAGCTATTCTTTTATTAGATATTTAATAATAAATATGTATGTAGAGATGTTTATATATATTATTATTATAGATAGAACAAATAAAAGTTAATTAGATGATATGAAAAATAATATGAAATAATTTAATCTTTAAATTAAAAAAATGAAATGATATATATAATTGATATTTGTTTAACACATTCTGTAAATTCAGATAGTTTATAGGTTATCATTCAATAATCAATCCCTATCCTGATTGAATTTATATTTCTGTACAATTTTCATTTAATTGTATCAATTGGTATCCTTCTTGATTCAATACTTTGTTAATTTTGTAATTCAATTTAATTACTCTATTCTATAAAATTGAGATTGAGATATTACTTAATCAGTAAGATTTAACAAAAATATATATTTGGATCTCTTAATTTCTATAACAAAATCAATTTCATTCACTTCAGCAAATTCATTTTCCAACCATCCAAATTATTATTCGATTTATAAAAAAGGATAATCTTTAATATCTGAAATCACTCCCTATATTATATTTATATTATTATATACTTATCCTAAAATTAAAGCATTTAGCTATTGAGATTAAGTTGCATGTTGATTAATTTGGAATAATGTTTTTGGTAAATATTACTTTGATTGTAATTAAGAGAGTTTATAATCAAAACCTAATCCACCTTCTTTAATAGTTCTACATAAGGCTGGATAATCAAAATTTTGAATTATACTAATTCCATTTGGTAATATATCATGTATTAAATCATTAGCTAACATTAAATAAACAGCAATATCAATATCATCAGTTATATCTATATTTGAAAATTTGAATCCATCTATCTAATACTCTGAGATCCAAAAAGATAGATTTGAGAGTAACAATCTCAATACTTCCCATTTTCCGTAATCTAATTAATCTGTACCTTCACGAACATATTAAAATTCACTTCCATCCCAATTTTTTAAATATTTTCCTATAAGTTAATGATCAATATCCATAAGAATTGAAAATCCTTATTGATGAAGATTTTCAATAGTTTTTTTTAATTCATCAGGATTAATTTAATTTATATCAACAGCCATTAAGATTTGTTATGTTATTAATATTGCATTAAATCCTGGAATATTTTATAATTCATTTATATTCTGTTTAATTATTTTTAATCCTTTACTTTATTGCTTCTATTATATTTATTATTATTGGAATTCATATTTATTTTCAGGATTCCAAAATATAGCTTATTCTCCATTTTTTACTTAACTCCAAACTGATGCTCTCTATAAATCATTGCAATATGTTATTAATGTGCTTCCATGTACTATTTAATGATTGTCATCATCATCTTTTGGTATAAATGCTTCCCAATTACCACCATTATCAGTTGTACAACTATATTCATTCAATTTCAATTCTTAAGCATTAGGAGCCCATTCTCTATAAGTGATACCATTATCTGACATTATAAATCCAAACTTTTGATATCTATGTAAAACCAATTCAATTACCCTTTAGAAAAGTCTTTTATAGATGATTCAACCTTTATGATTTATTCTAAAAGCTAAAAAAACTTCTCATTTCTACTCTATATTACTTCTTTCAATTCAGGCTCTTCTATTACTGTCTGTAATTAATCAACATTCTTCTCATACTTTTATAGAAACTCTTCATTCTCTAATACTGATTACTAATTGTGTAAAATGATATGTTCATACCTAATAAAATAAAGAATTCTTTTTTGATAATTTTCTATTAGGCACTTTTCTAGACAGTGCAGAACCTTAATCAATATAATTCATAATAATATATTATAATGTAATTCTAAAATGCAAATTTAAATATGCGTTAAATCATATCTTAAACACTATTCATTTTATATAAAAACAAAATACTTAAACCAAACTGTCACATTAACTTTAATAATTATGAAAACTAGATGATCTATAGATTATAAATAATAATAATGAAATATATTAAAATTAATAAATTATACCATTTTATTCATTATTTATTCTTATCTCGAATAATTATTATGTGTTATTTTGCATCTATTAATTATATTAATTAATATTTATCTTTTTTACTATTCACTATAAATAATATTGTAATTTCATTAAGTTTGTAGATATTATTACAATATATTAATATAAATTACAATTAAGATTCTTAATTTTTTTTAATAATTATTATTAAGCATTAAACTATATATTAGTAGATAGATATAAAAAATTATATCACATGAAATAAGGTTAACTTTGAATAAATTACAAGTCAACTGCTTTTTTACTCTTATTATACTTTCCAAAATACTCAAGTATCAAAAATGAGAATCTAATTATATTACCATGTTTAGCAGTTCTCAAAAAATCCTTTGTCATTCCTGCTTTAGTAAGATCATCACAATGAACAAATAAATCACTACCATCTAAATCCATTATTATAAATCCATAAGCTCTTGATTCATCATAAAATTTAAGTGTACCAAAATATCTAATCTAATATTTGTATCAAATACATTTACATTTGAAAGAATATTTGTGCCTTCCTATAAATTTAAATTCAAAGATTGCAAAAGATCATTTTATGGTGTTGATGAATTGATAAGAGAATTACATTCTTTCATAAGCAAATCTCCATCTTGATTAATTTCATCTAAGAGTTGCATTTATAAACTTGTTCGTGATATATTTGATGGAGAAAGTGGTACATTCTTCACATTAAGTTTATTAATTCTATTATCTTTTTGATCAGATAGATATTTAAAAGGATCTGAATATGATCGTTTATGTCTTCTTATAGGTAAACCTATAATGTCATTAATTACATCCAAAAGAATATCTTTTATTAATTTATGTTTTTCTTCACTACCCTTCTTGGCAACAACATAAAAGTAATTTAGATATCGTGCTAGATAAATGCGTTTTTTATAACCAAAATTGATGATTTAACATCTTAAATCTTCATTCTCGCACATATCATAAATAACAATTTTCCTTTACAATACTTAACTTACAATATTAAGGTCTTCATCTTTACATTTGTCACTTAATAATTTCCAATAGACAATAGTCCCATATAGAGCATGTGATATGGCTTTCATTAAATCCTATTAGATGGTAAATATTATAATTTACCAAGGCTGGACTCAAAATCTCTTTGTCATCATCCAATAAGAGTTTTCTAAATGATTCCATTAATTTGGAACTCTCTAAATCACAGTTTAAAGAATTCAAAGAGGGAGTCAATTATAAATCATACAATTTACTTGGAAACATTAATTTATTTGAGTATAATATTTTTATTTAATTCTTAACCAAATATTAAAATTTTGAACTTATTCAATCTTTAGATTCTTGACTAATAAAGTGAGGAATACAAATAATAATAATTAATATAAATAGAGATTAAATATATATATATAACTTATTTTAATAAATTTATTATTATTATGTCAAAGTGGGCAGAAAGCAAATATGAAGGGGAGTAATTAGAAGGTTGGTTTCATGGAAAAGGGAAATATTATTTTAGTAATGGTGTTATTTACGAGGGTGATTTTTTTAAGGGTGAATTTCATGGAGATGGTACTTTGATATTTCCTAATGGGGTATTTTAAGAATTTATAGAAATATAAGGGTTAATACAAAGCTAAATGGGAAAGAGGAAAAATGCTTGATGGAACTTATTTTTTTGAAGATCATTTGAAATATGAACCTATGGATTGGAAATATTGTATTGGAGATGATAGACGATTTCATTAAGAAATTAAATAAAGTATCAAACCAGCAGGAATTACATAAATGACTAAGGATGATATATTGATTGAAATTCCTGAAGGCACTTATGGTAAAAGTTTATGAAATTGAATTTCAGATGTTGGTGAAGGTTATTATGAACCTGTAAAATCTATTATTTACAGATATGATGGATCTATATTAAGAACACCAAGTGAACCTGAAGTGGAAAACATTTTAAAGAAATGTAGATATAATCCTAAGAAAGACTTTATCATTGATGGTAAAGATGATAAAGTTATTCAGAAAATGACTTAGAAGTCTTAGTGATTTAATATATATATATTTTAATTATCATAAATTCAAAATGAAATGTGATTTTTGTGAAGAGAATACTCCTATCATAGGTATTATTATATATGTTATTTATAAGACATCATGCGTCATTCATTGTTCTTGAAATACTCTCAGTCTTAAAATTATCATTACACTAAAGGTATTAGTGAAATATTGCACAATTATCGCACATCTAATAATATTCTTTATAAGGATGTATTACTCTACTATACATCAGAAGAACTGCTTTGTAAAGTGTATAATTCCACTATTTTATATGACAAATTGCAAATGTTGGGTGAGTATTACAAAGTATCAATCAATTCTATCCATAGTTTCATAATGATATACCACGCTTGTTTATGGTACCAGCCATTATTCCACTCAATTATTACCATGATAAAAAGAGAAGATTAGAGTATTATCGAATTGCCAAACTAATTGCAAATGAGAACAAGAACAATCCTGATAAACCTCCAAAGGGCATCGTTGGTGACTCGCCATTGCCTTAGTCCAGCCAATAAATGACGGCTTAAGAGGCGAGTTCCTCTGATGAAGTAAAACAGCTCCTCAATCTAGCCGATATCTAAATGTGACAAGATCCTTGAAGGCATAAGTTTCATAGAGACCAAACCCTAATTTGTCAATTTCAAATAGTAACTCTAACAATACCAAATATTGTAATAAGCAATTCCAAATTTCAAATATGAAAGTTACAAACCCCAATTAAAACAATAAGCAATATAATTATAAAAACCAAATAATCTAGATAAATAACAACGTAAATCTAGTATTACTAATATACTTAATATGCTTAAGAACAAAGTTCCAAAAAAAACTATTAAAAAGAAAAATTAATCAATAAAATCTGATCAATTACATATAGTATTTATTAAAGTCTTATATTATCAATTAGACACCTAGAGATATAGATATTAAATCTCCTACTAATCGCACTCTACTACCAAATTAATAAAGAATTGCAACTCTTTTAAAATCACCTAAATGTGTTACTCCAAGAGCACCTCAATAGAGTCCACATCTTCCAAAAAAAGTTTAATAATTAGAAATCAAAGTCATGACTGATTTATAAACTCTGCTTGCCAAAAAATAAACAAGAGATTCTAAATAATATTGTACTGTCCATTTTGATAGTATATCATTGGCTTAAGATCCTAGAAGTCTTACATAAAGGTTTGAATCTGCAAATAATTCTAAAGGACAATTTGCTAAGAAAAAACTCAGTATTAAAGAACTTAATTAATTCAGAAGAGTCAAAATCTAAGAACCATTATCAAATAGAGATCCACCTAGAAAATTAAATTTTAAATCTAAATCTAATGATAAACCTTTAAACATTAATATTAGTACTGATCATAAAATTAATTTCTATCAATAAGTTTAATCAGCTAGACAAGCACTAAATTCATAATAAACAACCACAACATTTAAATAAGTTAATGCTTAATCATTATCTTAATAAATACATCATTAAAAATCAGCCACTGCCAAAACATTAGGAAAATCAATGAAATTAACTAATACCTTAGACTCTCAAATTTATAAAGTAGCACTTAATTAAGCTGTGAAGAATATCAGAAGTAGAAAAACATGAATTATTTATAAATGAGTTACTTAGATTAATTAAAATCTTAAATCATTAAATCACTTTCCTATCATTTCTCTATCTCTAAGAAAAAGTTTTCTTAAATGGAAAGCAATATTATTTTATATTAAAACATCAGATATTCTTAAATTACTCAATAAAAGACTAAAGTAATCAGTAAATCAAAACTCAAAAAGATGGTATTTACAATAACTCTAAACAATAAGTTAATTTAAAATATGAGAAATTTTCTTTTATAATGGTCAATACTATTTCAATTAAAAATAGCTTATATTATGATTTTATAATTTTATAAAATTAATAATCTCATTTCTAATTTCTTATACTAACCAATTATTTGATATTTATATCACTATATTTAGGGATGGGATGAGAAAATGCTTGCTTCAAATCATTTATAAATTGTTTTTTTTAATCATCCATTTTTGTTTACTTTATTTTAGCTTTGAGTTTCACCTTATTTTAACTTTCTATGTTATTTTATAATAATGAAATCTTAATTTTTAATTCTTCATTTGACTTTTACAATTACATCACTAAATCCATTTCATTTTATTAAATAGTATTATTTAATATTTTTAAAGTATCATCATTATTTTTTAAAATAGCATCATTTTTATTTTTTAAAATAGCATCATTTTTATTTTTTAAAATAGTATCATTTAATATTTTTACAATTTTACTTATAGAACTAAGTAAAATTTAATCCTAAAATTAGTTATTCTATTGAATATAAAAATTAAAGCATCGTTCTATATTTATAAGAATTTCATTATAATTTTTTAGTTCATCTTAATACTTTTGTAATTGTTAAGTCTAAGAAATATTGATTTAATTCTAAGAATTATTAATTTAATTCTAAGAATCTTTGATTTATTATTAATAATACACTATTTCTCTCTTAATCAAACAAAATATTTAAAATAGAAGATCAAAACTTTTGATTACTTCTAAATTTCTATCATAAAATTGAAGATTATCAAAATAAGTATAGTTATTTTTTTTCTTTTTTTACAATTATTTGATTTATTTTAGATATTGTTCGATTTGTTTATTAAATTAATTTATTTGATCCTTAGTTACAAACTAAACTTAACTCTATATATGTGATTACATAGATTCTACCTAATCAGTAATTGCTTAACAATCTGTTATATAATTGCTTATAAACTCTAATATTTATTAATCATTAAACTATTGAACTTATTTTTTAATTTAATCAATTCTTTCAATCTATTGTTGAACTAGTTCTTTATCACTATTTTCTTTTTACTGTAATATTTATATTTAATGATTGAAAGCTTTATTTTTAAATTTCTAATTTAAATTAATAAATTGAAAACTTAAATTACATTTTTATATATGTTCATCTAATCTTTTATTGTAATCATCTACTTAAACTTGAAATTAGGTTTTATAATTATTTATTTGATTGTAACTTTATTTTATTTAATTTAGTTATAAATTACCCAATTTAGATTTCAAATCTTCTAAATTTTTTTCTAAGAATTAAATAAATTGATCAATATTTTCATCTTATAATTCATTAATTTATTATTTGATATTATTTAGTTTGTTGGCTTCGCTTGTAAGTTATTGAGATATAAAATCAATTTAAAAAGTTATTTTATTTTCTGCTAATTTTACTTCTTCGATGTTTGTAAAGATACTCTTTTCAAAATTATCAATTTAACTAACAATTTAAGATATTCTAATTTAATAATCATTTAAAATAATTCTTTTATTTCTTTCTAATTCTTTCATTATATTGGAAAGGCTTTCTTCATCTTTACTCATATTCTACATACGTTAGTTTTAATTTTCTAAATTATCCAGAGTCTTTTTTAAAGAGTCTAATTGTTCTATTAAATCAATTGTTATTTTTTAATGCTCTTAATAAATTAATTGTTTTTGTATAGTTTATGATTATTGTTTTTTTAAAAACTTTTCATAAGTATTATCAGCTTATTACAATGTATAAATAGAAATATTAACTTCTTATTCAATAGATGAAAATAATTGATATAAATTCTAATTTTTATCCAATTTTAATTATTCTATTAATAATATTAATTTATTTCTGATTTAGATTGAAGTTTATAACTACCTGTTTAATTCTTAAAGCATTACTTACTCTTCCTTTTATTCATTATCTATTTCTTTTTGATTATAATAATCTATTTTTTATTCCCATGTATTTATATTTTGAATAAACACATTTAGATTAGATATAATTAACTACAAATCCTTTTCTCTTTATTCAGAAATCTACTTCATGCATAATTATAAAATTTATTCATATCTACAAAGTTTATCCATCAAATTTGATAGTTATTTATTTATTTTTTTAACTTCATGAAGTTGAGTTTATTCTTTTTTTGAAATCTCTACACTCTCTTATAGAAGTTTAAATTCTATTTAAATTTAATAAAATTATTTATTTACACTCTACCATTATTCGTATAGGTCATTATCTTTTTTTAATAAAAGATCAAAATCTATATTAAGTGTTTATAATTTTAATTCTAAATTTTAAGTGCTATTTTATAATTTTTCAATAAAATCTTCAGAATCTATTTAT